AAAATAAAATTAAAGATTAGGAGGGTTAATAAAAACTTTTGTAGAAAAAGTAATGTGAATACATTTATATTTATATTTCATAACATTTAAAGTAAGTTGGTTTGACTTTTGAGAATCTACCTTTACAAATTAATGGAGTTTGTAATTTTGAATTTATAATTTGTAATTTTATTTTTGTTAACAAGTGCCAGGTGGGGGGGTATTTGTAAGTTTTTAAGGGTTTTTTTGCCATTTTAAAAACTTTTGAGGGGTCATGAATTTTACAGGGTACCCAGAACCGGAACTGGAACCGTTGTTACAGGTTCTGGTTCTGGTTCTAAATTTCAAGGAACCGTCGGTTCCGGTTCTGGTTCCTTCTAAAAGTGCAGGGCACCCGGAACCGAACACCCCTAGTGTGTATGGGTGGCTGAATTAATGTCTGCATGTCGGTGGGTGGCTGTCCGACAACACTATGAGGCTAGATTTGGCCTGCTTTAGAGCTTCCAAGGCTGGATTTGGCCTGCTTCAGAGCTTCCAAGGCCGGATCTAGCCTTTAACGGCCTGGTCGGTTTTGTGAGGAATTTCTAGCCTCTAGTGAACTTGGAAGGCCTCTTATAGTTGCTATGAGGCCTCCACGGAAATCGTTAGCACTAGTAAGCTTGGTGGCAACTGGGGGAGGGAAGGGTAAAAATGTAATTGATCAACTTAACAAACTTTTTAAACGAAATAGGAGCTAGGCTCTTGTTTTCAATACTTGTGGGTGCTGAAGGTAGTAATTAGAAATAATATGGGTAAAATAATTATTTCAATGGTCAATTATGTTAGAATCATAAATCAAAGGGTAATACAACTTACAACTCAATCTAACAAACTTTTTCTCACAACCCGATATGATAGCTCGCAATTATCCATTCGCAAATAGGTCCCGTCATTTTGTTATAGGTCATGTCTGTCTAATTGCGAGCTGACACGTCAAGATTGTGAGAAAAAGTTGTAAGATTGGATTGTGAGTCAATCTTTATTGTAATCAAATAACACAGATTAAGTACTTTGGGATTAATATTGATGTTTCTAAAGTTAATGGTGGGAGTATAGGGGGTCAAAGTAATTCAGCCATTTAAAAAAAAAAAAAGTATTTTTTTTTAGTTTTTTTATTTTTTAACAATCACAAGTAAGCAGATCCTTGATTTGGAAAACAGGAAAAGAGAACTATGTGAATTATTAAGAGAAGTTTCTGGTGAATTTCAATGGAGTTTGTGACAGTTTTCCAAATTGCAATAGGCTTTCTACCTTTCTTATACTATTGTTAAACTTTGATGGTGGTAGCATGTCATACATTTGGTCATTTTTATACAAAGAGTTTATGCAAATACATATATATAAAGAAGAGTTAAATGAGAGGATGTTCCGCAGTTCTCTTTCCTATCGAATCCAAAAAACAAAATTAATTCTCTCTGCATAATCTATTAGTAATTATCTTATAGATAACAATTTCACATTTCAGACTATCTAGTACAATTAATGAACCAGATTAACGAATTCTTATATAGAATTATAGAGAATAATCAATCCAAGAAACCCTTCAAACTCACTAAATCAGTTTCCTAAAAGAATTGAAATTGTTCCTTGGCAGCATAACTTCTCTTCTAGCATACAACAATCTTCTTCAAATAACAAGGCCTATCTTCATCATCAATTCTCCATCTTTCCAAGTCCAACACTTGTGTAATCTTTTCACCGCCCCATAATTCTCCATTTTCTGTTGTCTCAACTCTTCTCCCTCGCATTCAAATCCATCTGATTCCCCATTTTTTTGGACACTACTGCTAGAAATTCTCTAAACTTATCATCGTTCCTCGTTTTGAATAATTGACACTAAAACTTCTGGCAAACGAGAGATTGAGCAGTGGGGCAGCCACCACGCCGCCATAACCTACCTTCTAGCGCAATCCTCCTGCTCTTGACATAAAAGTCTCTAGCCTTGTGTAAAATCTTCCTTGGTTTTCCCATGTAGTGCCTCAACTTGCTTCGCATTTCGGCTTTGCTTCTCAGTTTTGCACCTGCAATATTTTGTTGCAAAGAATCTATTAATACCCAAATACGGAAAAGAAGAAACAAGAGCTTGTTTTGAGTTGAAAAAGAGATATGGATATTAAAATTAAATGAGTTTATTTGGTTTGACTAATTTAAGACTTGTATTTTGGAATAGCATAAGAGGCAAATGATCTGCGTAAAGGTTTAGAAATGGTTTCTAATAGGCAGATGTTGGAATTCCTTAATGCTGACCTTTTTTTTGTTCTAATGTTTGAATTTCCCAGTCTTGTTAGAATACTGGGAAGTCATTTATATATATTGTTCAATAATGCTACATAAACAATTTATCATTTGAACAGTTAATTCTACATGCTACCATATTTACTTGCAAAAACTAAATATATTACTTGTATTTTTATCCTCTCTAATATGACAATATTTCAAAAATATTTATATGACCTCCCTTGGATTTCTTCTCAATACAAACTACCCCTCTAACCTAAGGAATTCTTTTGTTGAATTTAAATTCTCTCAATGGGAAAGTGGATACAACATCGCAACAATTATTTAGAGAAACCCTAAAGATTGGTCTACGGTAGAATATTTGTTTTCATCATGAATTCCTAGGTTCGCATCACTTGAAGTTACCCTACCACATTTGACGTTTTAGAATATGGGTTTTGTACAGTGTTTAATAGATCTTGAAGTACTGCATACTAGTTCAACACCCAATCATTAAAAAAAAAAAAAAAAAAAAAAAAGATATAACCATCTTTGGATGACATTAACATAGTATCATTACCTCTCAAATAATTTTATGATGATGCCTAAGTAAATGGAATAAAATGATCAGCTTAATGAGATTATTAGAAAATCATTTATACATCCTATATTACTATAGTTTATTCAATACAAGTATGTCGTAAAAGAAGAATTTGTATACACGAGATCTGATTTAATTATCGGCACACAATAGATCATAGACAGCATGGACTGCCCACACCCTAACTTTCGCAGCTTAATTACCAGAAACCCTTTTCTTTGTTTTTGACCATCTGATTATCAAAATTGACGACGATCTTAAGACAAGAACATCAATGCCTAATTCAAAAGGGTATTTGACATCTATGGTTAATTATTTAATAGCTGTTGTTCCATCACATTATTTTTCAACTTTGGCCTGCTAACTAATGTCATATTCATTATATTTATTTTATTTGAAGTTTTCACTTGTCTTTTTCCCATTTGAAAAAGTCTGCACTGCGTTGCCGTCTTTTCAAACTATTTTGAAGCTACTTCCAAGAAATAAATCCTAAACAATAAAGCTAACCCCCCATTTAATTATGTGTGTCTACTCCCTCGTCTCAAACATGCAATCTTCTTCCTTCTTATTCACATTCTATCAATTTCTTCGCCATTAACGAGCTTTAAAGACATAAGCTGCAAAAATGAAGCAAAGCGAACAAGCGAAGCAAGTTCATGCTAGTAATCTTAGCGCCCGTAAAATTCTTTCAGAGCTAGAGATTTTACGTCAAGGGCTGCAGGATTGCAATGGCAGGATAGTTAATTACGATGGCACGGTAGTCTGCCCCACAGCACGTTTGTGCACTTGTCTAGAGTTGTAGTGTCAACTCTTCAAAGCCGATTGATGATGAAGAATTCAGGGAGCTTTTACGAGCAGCGTCAAGAAAGAACATGCAGCTGAATCTGTGTGGGCGTGCAGAGAGGACGAAGCAGAGTGGTGGGATGGGAGGAGTTACAGTGTTAGTATGGGGAAGATGGGGAGAATTGATGAGGAAGAGCCATGTGCATTTGAGGAAGATGGTTCAAACTCAAAGGCAGATGTGTTGTATCCAAGAAGTAGATTTATGCTGTTAACAGGAGAACTTCGTTCCCCATTAAGTGGGAATATTGGTGGATGTATTGGGATTGTTTCTTTTATTTTTTTCTCACTTTTTTGTTTCATTCTGATTCAGTAAGTATGAAACTGTAACATAGATTTAAGGGTCATTTCCTTTACTGGTTGCTATTTTCCATGTTCTTTAGTTAACCGCACTAAAAAATGTAATGAATATATCCCGTTAGTTGAGAAGTTTTCTCGATGAAAATATTTATAAGATTTTCTTTCAAGAATAGTACATGTTCTACTGAGACTGAACTCATTTGAAGAATACATGAGCAAATAGTTTTGGTACTATATGCATATATAGAACTAAACTATCAAATTTCCTCAAAAAGTTGATAAATAAAATAAATTTTCTCAGGAAAAGTTGTAAACAAAAAAGAGGCCCTCCCTGCCTTCCGCACATAAAGAGCGGATGGACAAAGTAATAGGATCTCGGAGTTTGAAGCTACATACAAAGATGAGTACAATAACAATTAAGTAAAAGGCCCTGTTTTAAAACTTGGATCAGACGGCCAACCGGACCGATAGTCTTTCTAATCCGAGTTACCATTTTTCACTATTCACAAATCCCTAATTTGATTACCAGTGAACTGGAACTATCAAGTGTCAAGATTAGAAGCTTTTGTAGAGTGAAGTCAGTGGTTAAAGGGGTATGTCGGATTGAAGTTTGGATGCTTGAAATTCAACCCAATATGCAAGTCACGACGCGAAACGGGGTCTACCGGTGTCAAGGTTAAAGGTTTTGTAGAGTGAGCCGATGGTTTAGTTGGTGTGTTTGATTGAATTTTGGATACTGAATCAACTGAAAAAATCAACCCAATTGCAACGTATATCACGAGTCACGGCCAATGAACGGGGGCCTACCAAGTTCTGGTTTAGAGAGGTTTTATAGATTGAAGAGATGTTTTAGGTGATGGTGTCGAATTGAATTTTAGCCCCGAAAAAGTCAAAACTCAAATAGATTACAGTTGTATAGTTGCTAGATTTATCGAGTTTTAAAACAATGGGTAAAGTATGATAGTAGCCACAATAAAGGACCTCAAAAATGTTAAATAAAGCACGGAAAATTTCCTTCAAATTTGAAAAAAGAAATGGTTCTAATCACAACATTGATCTCAGGGAGTTATTTATAATAATAATAATTAAAACAAAAAAACCAAAATACTACCAGAGATGAGCATCCATTCAAAAAATAGAAAGGTTAACAAGTTATTTGATGTAGGCCCCAAAGCATGGTGTTGTTCACTCTTCAGAGTTTGCAACAAACAGCAAAGCGCCTGTTGACAAAGGCCTAGCAGATCCTATTGACAAAGGCCTAGCAGATAGACATCCTGGACAACCCCAACATATCCACATTTGTGCTAGAGCTGTTGTTCAACATTAACCTTAGATGACAGATATGAGCACCTTCTTTCATCCAGAAAAATATTAAACATAATTAAAATCAGCAATATTTGTTACAGTAGTCTATATCTAGATCGACCAGAAACACAATTCACTAACATAAGGTAAAAACACGGTAACAGATATCCAAGAAAATTTTATCTAGCAAGTTCAAGAAAATCAAAGCAGAACAAAAAGAAAAACACCTATCATTCATTTGAACTTGCAGGGCCAACTAGGACTCCTTGAGCAGAACCTTCCTTCCGGCTACTATCATCCTTTATGTCATCATCAGACTTTCGTATCCTAATTTTGTATTTAGCTTCAAACTCAGCGATTTCTTTCTTCTTATTTTCCAACGCCTCATTAAGCCTAGTAATTACCTCCTCTATACCCTCTTTATTGCGCTGGACAGCAGGAAGGACCTCTTTGATTGTTCTCTCAACCAGGACACCTCCAATCATCCTATAGCACCGTCTTGATGGGTCAAGTGGCTGAATAGCATTAATGACCAATGAGTGCTCACTTGCTTCCATCTCTAGTTCAGTAATTTTTGAGTAAATTTGATTTAGTTCACTTCTCATAGAGGCATACATATTTGCAACTACTTGCTCATTTACTGGTTCTTGGGTAGCCATAGTTCCTACAAATGGAGAGGATATTGAAGGAGGTGAGGCATTCACAAAATCACATCTCAACAGCCAAATCGGCATTAGGCCTAAAGTTGAAATCATTTTGATATAAAACAACATTTGCACGAGAACACATAATGTACATAGAATTCAATTTTTAAACAAATATTAGACATCTATCATAGGAAAATATACAATCAAAATATATGTACAATGAGAGTTATTTGTCACCAAAACCAAATTGGTACGGATATTCAAGCAAAATCTATGGATCTCTATGGCCTATAACAGAGGTGAGCAAGAGCAAACCACAAACTTGAATACTCAAACTAATATAGTACTAACTCAAAACCTTCACAACAAGATCATTAATCCAAAATTTCCAATACAAGTTCCATCCTTCAAAACCTTAAATTCACTACCTACTTTACATTGACCTAGAGCATATAATCTGGTAATGGGTTTCCACTGTTTGAAGCGTGATAGATATCAATCAACTGGTATCACAATTTTCAAAATATAGACAAATGATTCTATAGCATATATAGATATTTGAACCAATTAACTTGGACAAAATATGGACAAAGCTATTTTGATACGCAAAAAGAATAAGTTGGAAAGCTGAAAGAGGGTTTCAATTTTCAATAATTAGAAGTAAAAAGGATAGTGCAAACCGCAAGACTCATCCAACTAAAGATTTAGCTCCACCAAAACAATTATTTATCGCTATAATCTATTAACCTAAAAGTAAAAAAGAAATATAAATAAGTCAAAAAATTATAGGTTCTTCCGGAAACAACATTTAATTCAACTTCATCCATCACCCATAAGATCAAAGCCACAACCCCCCAAAAAATGCGGTGATAAAAGAACTCAAATCGATCCGCAATATATAAACACTAACAACAATCAGGCATCTACGAAAAGAAAAAGAGTTAAAAGCTTACCAGTATAAATAGTACGGCTTCTGGTTCTGATCAGTGGTGTCGATGCGACTGAGTAGCTTGCGAGACCACCTCTAGGTTTCAGACTAATGTGGGTATTTTCTTTTACTTTTATAAAATGAATGTTTAATTATTTTGGTTTTGAAGCGTTCCCGAAACCAATTCGGGCCGCGTGAGTCGACTTGAAGGCCTACCTCAATTCCTAACAAGACAGGCCTTGTGAGCCTGAGCTGAGCTGTGGGCTAATTATAATTTCAATCCAGTCCAAGAAAGAAGTCCTCCAAAAACCTGAGAATTAAGGTCACTGCACATAGACATACCCTAAATACCCTCATGCATGTAGTTTTATTATAGTATAAGCTTTTGATGAATTTGGAGAAATTTCTTTATATTTATGAGATGAATGAAAGGAAAGGAAGGCACTTGAATTTGAGTTCGAATTTAATAGCGTTGTCTGTGCCTTTATTAGTCAGTTGTTTTAATGGTTGCACATGGAAAGGATCGAACTATAATTACTGTCCTTCAAAACTCTTCATTTCATTCATGGCAATTTCTTTTATGTAATTCAACAGAAAATAATATTTTCTAAAGGACCCCTCCATAAGAAATACAAACCGTCCACACCGACATTTATTCCACTGCTTCCACTTCTTTTTTATTTTAAATTTTTATTGTTCTACTCCTTTTTGTTATAAAGTTGAACCATCTTAGATTATAATCTCAGTTTTATCCTTTTATTAATGTATATATTTGTGCACAAATGATGAAGATTAACATCCTTTAATAGGTTCATCAAAACAAGAACAAATATGAATAATACTGATAACAATTTAATTATATTACCTTTTTTTTTTTTTTTTTAATGACGAGAAATATTTGAACCAATTTACGTACACCTTAATTAATCTCTCGAGATCTTGTAACTACAGACTAGATAAGAGCTTTCGTGATTATTTCTATTAACAAACGAGATGAGACTCGAAATCTCTTAAGTAATACAGCTTGTAGAACCACTCAACCAGCCATGGTTCTAATTTAGGTGTTTTTTTTTCTCACTGACTTGTCAATTTTACATTTTTACTCTAATATTGGAGAGTCCTTCTTCCCGGTCTCCACCGGAAAATTTTGCACAGAAATTAAAATAACTTACTCACTGGACCCAATTCCTCTACCTCCCCATATGGATTTGTATTTGATTTCGGTAAACATTAGGATCTGAATGATATATAAAAATTTGAAGATATAATTCATAATAAACCAACAGGTGAAGTACCCATTTAGAGGAAAAAAGATAACGTAATGACAGATAGCTGAGAAAACATGAAGAATAATAAATAAATAAACACATTTTTCTGTGTTGCCAATCCGAAACGGTTCCATTGCACTAACCTTAAAAGAGAAAAACACAGAATCGGGAGGCTCATATAGAAACAAAACCAAACGAAAATCGATTAGATATTTCTTATCTGAACTGCACATAACAAAAGAAAAAAAAAAAAGTGTTATGGGATGCTACGTTTTCCAGGACGATCAGCGACCTTGAGCGTTTTGTCAATAATTTTCTTCGCCTTTCGGCTGCGGATCTCCACCTTGACACTGGAGCTCTTGTCCATCTTTATGTATGGTTTCTTCGACTTCTTCAAGGCTCTCACCTTCGATTTTATAGACTCCACCAAGTTCCCCAACTGGTTGATGGCCATTTGAATGTTCTTTCTTTCAGATTTTCTCAGGAAAATTTTAAGATTCTCGGCTATAAATTTTGCATTTTTCTGCTTGAGAGAGACTACTTTGCCATTCGCTCTTCTTCTTTCCGCTTTTTGGTAAGATTTGCTGAGATTTCACTTTTAGGTTTTTATTGACAAGTTTTCAGAAATGGGATTGGTTTTTTATAATTATTACGAGTGTGCCATTAAGGCCGCCGTATTCTGACTTTTAAATGAGTTTTTAAGATTTGTACTTGAGGTGTACTTCCTCCCTTCTTCCATAAAATAAATTATATATCTTATCCCTTTCTCAAACACAAATGAAGCAAACGGCTGACAATTTTTTTATCATGATTTGTTCGATTAATTAAAAATATGTTTTTAAAAGAAATACTTTGAAATAATGTATAATATTATTTTTAATAATAAACCGACCTCTCAGGTATTGTAGTCTTATATTATGAAATGAAAATAAACAATGAGCAAATTAATGATCCATAAATTAATTATTACATTTCTTTTTTATCACCGGACATGTCCGAGTCAGTTTATGTGCACTTTAGCTAATTTTCAGTGCCCTGAAATTATCGATTGGGTAAGAATCTCAATGATCAGTGACAGATCCAATGAATGACGAGTGGAGACCACAATCCCCATTCAATTTAAAAAAAAAAAAAATCAAATTTTATATGTATTTAAATTTTGCTCCTATAAAACTTTGAGATTTTGGGAACGGAACGGCCCCCACGGTAAGTTTGGATTTTATTTTTGTAAAACCTCATTTTTAATCTATATATATCATATTTTTTGTGATTTTTATTTTTATACAAAAGGATCTGTTGGTTTTTAAAATTTTTATTAGGAGTGAAAATGAAAGGAATAAGAGCTGCTGGGTTTGCATATAACTGAGAGGAAAAATCTGGGTATTTTTACAACAGAAAGCTGATGTGATGAGATTATGGTGAAAATAAGAGAATTTTAGGATAGTTTCATAATTCAAAGAAGTTGTTATATATATAAACTGTGATATTTTCCCAAAATGAGAAAGAAGAGAGAAAAACTCATAAAGAAGAAGAATCAAGGGAAAAGGAAAAAGAGAATAGAAGGAAGAATGAGTTTGATCAGTTTTATCCATCTAATTTTTCTACACCTGAGTTGATGGTACTTGAGAACTAGATTGAGACTTATGTTATTAACATGCGTGATTATGATGAATTTGTTAAGTTACAAGGAATTAGTGATTTGGTTAAGAATTTAGTTTAATTTAAAAAAATATATTTTGTATCCATTGGTGCATAATCTTGTGAAAATTGTATTGGTTTTACCAGTTGCAATTGTGACCATTAAAAGGGTTTTTTCTGTAGTTAATCTTGTGAAAAGTCAGTTTCGCAATCGAATAGGAGATTAATAGATGAATGATTGTTCGGTCACCTATATGAAGAATGATGTATTTGATATAATTGACAGTAAGACTTCTCGAGGACAATTGTAAAAAAATTGTTTTACTTTTACAAAATTGTGTTTTTTGAAAATATTTATTTGTATTTTGTAACTTTTTTGTTGAAGCTCACGGTAATGAAAAAAAATGGTTATGATTGGTTTTAATTTTTTAATTTTTAATTTTTAATTTTTTTAATTTTTTATTTTTTTTACCGTATAGAATAAAATTCCTATATCCGTCATTGCCAATGATTAGTCCTATTAATAATTTGAAGGACTTAAATTCATGAGTTCATCCAACTATTTTTTGCACTTTTACCGTAAGCAGTAATTTAATTATTACTTAATTAGCTAGGCATATGCCCTGAAATTGTCCAATCAAAACTATAAGATAAATTAATCTTTTTATGGTATATAACTGACCCCTCAAATCTAAAATTTTAGGTTTTGACGGCTGAGATCGAGTAATACAAATGGGTTTATGATGGACCATATTACATTTGATAAGAGCACCTATTCTATTCTTATGAAAGGAAACAAATTCAGATAACTGTGACTGTGACATGATCGCAATCTCTTTGGTCAACTCACTGAAAGTCTTTAACAGACAATTATATCATCTTTTCACTTGCAATTGATAATCTTGTTAATAAATGAGAACACGTGACTATTTTAGTAAATTAACACTTCCCATGCAATTAGACTTAGCTGTCACATTTCTTATTTCACTACGTGGCATAGTCAAAATAAACTCTTTTTCTTTTACTGTGAATAATTTATCTTTAAAAAGCAAAATATATTAAAATTTAACAAATTCGAATTTAGTTTTAGCCTTTTGTGTTAAACTGGTTTTAGAAATATAACCATAAACCCCATAGTTTAGTAATTGTGATCCTAACCCTTGTGTGTTTGACCCTTTTTTGTGGTGAGAATCCATTAGTTATGAAAATATTATCCATTCAACTTTCAAAATTATCAACAATTTTGTCAATTTAATCTTCAAAAATTATAGCCAAAGATCTACCTTTACAGAAATAGGATCAGATCCTGTGAGGTTGAGGCTACTAGCAATTTGTTGTACCTACACACGCGAGGAAACAAGCGTGAACCAAACAGAAAACATTAGGGTGGTGTTTGTCGTAGACACTCCGACGCTCAAGTCAACTCAAGTCAATAAGGCTGAATGAGGCTAATTTAGTGAGGGTTAGGGAAAGAGAAGGTTACCAGGAATCTAGTCGAAGACTACAACTACGACAGTGATATGAGGTTCTCAAGAGTAAGAACTACTGGGTTAGAAGGTGTAATGTATTCTCCCTGTGAGAGGGTTGACCTCTGTTTAAATAGCAATTGTAGGATATTTGAGTCCTAGTAGGTCTGTGAGTCCTTTAGAGGTTAAGGTTTAGTGAATAGGTAGGCTTTTGATTCCCTTACCTTCATAGGAGAGGGAGTCCTAGTTGGTCTAAGACATGGATCTTAGATGAGTTAGGATCTCTTTGATAGAATTCGAATAATACCAAAATAAGAAATAGGCAACCTTGGGGTCTAAATGAGCCCTAGGTGCAACGGGTGATCTTAGATTAAGGGCTGAGCCTAAACAAGCTGATGATGAGGCATAAACAAATCAGAGTCTTTATTGATTAGGCTCAAGCAATGAGCAACATGGTAGGGGTGCTAAGCGAACCTAATACGCAAATAATTGCGAGTCCAATCGGAATTAGGCATAGCTTCGAGCTTATGAAAGTGTCTTTCATCTTTGGACCTATTTGGGTCGAGGATATTTTTTTTACTCTAACGATACTACGACACACAAAAAAAAAAAAAAAAAAAAAAAAACTCAATAAATAATATTTAACAAATTACGTGAACATTTAATTATATTTTAACACTTATGAGTAATATTTAGGCGAACGAACTTTCACTTACCCGAAGTTTGGCATAAAGACAGATTGATACTAAAAAGATTTAGAAATGATAAACAAATTTTTTTTGTCATGTTAGGGATTTTTGTCTGCTAAAAGACAGTATAGTAATTTCATTCTCACCCCAAACTCGTTTGCATAGCTCTTTTGCGTCATTGATCGAATTTAGCATTTTTTTTGCGAAGTTCGATGATAAACAGTGGTACTGGCCCTTGCTGGTGCGCGTTGGGAATGGAGATCGGTAGATATTTCAATCTTTTCACTATTTTTATCTTTTAACAGATGAAAATTCCTAACAGAACATAACAGAAAGTGGATATTTGTCATTTCTAAACCTTGTGAGTATCATTTTGTCTATACAATAAACTTTGAGTATGTATAAGTCGTTCCCTAATATTTAATCTTCTATATGTAATTAAAAAAGAAGAATATTAATAGCTTAAATGGTATGAACAGCAGTGTTTTGTTACTTATTGTAACACGCTTATCATGAATTGTGGTTGGGTGTCAGGTTGTTGAAAAAACTATTTAATAATTTAATTTTATTAACCAACGTGTTAGTTGGCAAGTATGAGTAATTGAGTATAATTAGGTGTTAAGGTCAAAAATCGTCTTGGGCTTGACGAGCTCCAATAACAAAATAAACATATCATGATCCAAGGCCTCAACCTAATCTCGATTGGGACTACGTTTAAAATCACCTTGTGAACTACACACTCTATGAGTTGGACTATCCTATAAGTTAATTTAAACTGGGTTTCAGCCCATTAGCCTACAACAATCTAAAAATAAGAAATTAGAATCCTATTATATTTCCTCTTCTACTAAGATTCTAAATCTTACTCAAACTATTAAACTTGATCTGATAAGATCAATAAATCATATCTCTTTCATGATAAGGATTATCTTCTAAAATAGGACTTAGTGTCATACTAAGATTCCAAACCTTATTTAAACTATTAAACTTAATCTGATAAAGTCAAGAAATCATATCTCTTTGAGGATAGGGATTATCTCCCAAAATAGGACTTAGTGTTCTACTAAGATTCCAACCCCTTGGGTTCATTATAAAAACAGAGGTTTGCCCTATCATTAGGCATGCAATCTCCCACAGTCAATCTACACTACTCAAAACCATATATTTGCTCCTAAGTTCTTGCTCCCAAGAACTCGACGCCTCCGTCGTAGTCCTAGCTTCCGACAAGACTCTTGGTAATTATTCATCTCCTTAATTCTTATCAAATAATCTGTTTCAGCCTTGTTGACTTGAGTATTGGAGTGCCTACGGCAAACATCATCACGGTGTTTTTCGGAAGCTTCACGCTTGCCCTTTCATGTGTGCAAGTCTAGCGGATTGTCAGTGACCTCAATCTCACGGAATCATACCCTATTTTCATGACGGTAGATTTTTTACATCTACATTAGGGAAATAAAATTGGATTAGAAGGTTTAATTAAAAGATAGATATGAGTAGGCAATTATTGGAGTATTAGCTACGCAAATCAAAGCTTAATCACAAAGGATTGGATTAAATTAGCAATTTGTTTCAAATGAGAAAACGAATTCTTTTCAACCAACTTTCAGTTTCTTTTTTAGATGTTGACAATTAAATTCCACGTAGCCACCGAGGAAAATTTCACCCCAAATTTGACTATAATTAAATTCCATGTAGTGTATGTGTATGGACATTACTATCTTTTCAAATCCTGCCAACATTGAATAAATTGCACCAATTTCAGTTTGTCTTCCCAAATGCGAATCAACTTGTTTTCGTTTGACATTTGTCAATTGATTTGAAACGTTGAAAATTCAGAATTTCCACTTTTTAAGTTTCATTTACATTTAGCGAGATATTATTATCAAGTAGAAGATAAGTGTCATCTGATTGATATTAGATTATTAATAATTTAATAAATTTGTGTATTCTCGATGATAATATCCCTCGTTTAGCTTGTTATATAATTAAATATTTTATATTATATGTAAATTGATCAAGATTAAGGGATTTTTACTATGGATGGGCGCAGGGTGGGTCAAGGCCAAGGACCCCATTCCCCATCTCTCATCCCCGAGATGAGATGTCGAGTAATCCCCATCCTTGCCCCACTTTTGTATGCGGGGATTCTACGGGGAAAATTTCACGTGGGGATTTTCCCTATTCATTCCTTATGATAAATTGTTTTAGAACCTTAATTTTTTATTTGTTAATTAGTTTATTAATTATTTGTTTATAATTTATAGATAATAACATAAACGATAAATTGTTTATTTGTTTCTTTGTAATTTGCAATTTACAAATGCTTAAAACAAATTAAATTAATTGACTTAACTTTGATAATTGTTTTTTTAAATGGTTATAAAACTTTATTATGCTAATTACTATCTATCAAAACTAAAAATAAATTATTTTATCTAATTACTTGTTACGCAATTGTGTATATTCTTGTATTGGTTTTGTAATAATCTAGTCAAGTTTATTTTGGGGACAAATCCATCAGCTTGTTATATAATTAAATATTTATATTATATGTAAAATGATCAGGATCCTCTAGAAGGGAATTTTACACTTTTTTTTTTTTTTAAATCAATTTTATTAAAAGAGTATAATTAAATAACTAAAATATATCTAAAAGAGCATGCATTATGTTTGATAATCTATTTTAAACATTTGTGAATTCATATTAAATGGCATATCATATAATTATTCTTTACACTAATTTGAATATTCATTTCATGTGTTTGTCCTTTATAATTACTGATAATTCCGATTGACAATTAAGTAAGTATAAAAATCCCAGGCAAGAATATTTTCACATGGCTCGCCTTGTCCTTGTAATATTTTGGGGTGCGTTTGTTTTATCATTTTGGATAGGATTTTGAGAATAATATTAGGTAGTTGAATAGGGGAGTATTATAAGGTAAAATTTAAAAATTTATAAAAAAACCCCATAGGTTTGCTAATTTAATAAACACCCTAATATATAAAAATATTGTAAAATGATAAAAACACCCTCATCACCCGTAGTGCTAGATTTCGGCCATCACTGCCAGAATTTGGACGAAAAATTGCGTAACAACACATACCGGTCGGATCTGATGGGTATGGCATCGATATGACATTTTCCGACTAGATCCATCATGGATATGGCCGGAAAAGGCTAGATGTGGCCGTCGATGGCCGAAAAAAGCCAAAGAAGTCCATCTTTGACCGTCAGCAACAACCAAAGATATGGCCGTCGTTGTCGATCAACGATGGCCATTTCTTTGGTCATCACTAATGGCCAGATCTACTGTGGATCTGGCCAGAAAAGGCCAGATCGGTGAATTACCGATAGTTTCGGTAGTTAATTCATCGTTGTGACAGATTCCGTCTACCACAGACGGTGTTTGTCGAAATCTGGCAAAATATAGGTCAATGGAGGTGTTTTTGTTAATTTTTAAACTTTATTTTCTTAAGGTATTTAATGAAATTAATAAACTTAAGGAGTCTAAAAATGAGTAATATTTTTTAAATAATGTGTCAAATAATATTTGAGAAATATGATTGAAAATATGGGAAGAAATATGAAACTAAACGCACCTTTGGATTTTCTAAAATTAAAAACAAATAAAATAACACGCCCACGTAAGGACAGGTGCTTTACTGCTTTAATTGCCGAATTGCTACCATTTAACGAAGAATAAAGTTGAAATTAATATGTTATTAATTTATTCTTAAATATAGTATATATTATCAAACTAAAAACACTCCGAATCGTTTCCAATAATCAGTATTTTAATCACCACTGCGTGCCTTAATGGTAAAAAATTAATAAGAGTTTTTATGAATTCATGAGTTCGAATTCCCACAAATATTAATAATATTAATAAGGGTAATCATTAATCACAAAATCTCTTACTTGCACCAATCTCGATTATTAGTTGAAATGTACACAAATCAGTCTAAATATCTTCGATGATTAAAAAAAATAAAATAAAAAAATAATATAGTATTTTCTATACATTTTACTCGCTGATGTTATGTAATCAAGCAACATTTTTTTACCTAATTTACCAGATGATGTTTTCGTTGAAGTACCTAGCTAATTCTTTAATTGAATTCACTATAGATAATTTCAAGTTTTGTAAAAATACTATAAAAATTAAGATCATGAAGCTCATATAACCCTAGTTTTGAAAATCAAAGCTTTAAAAATAGTATTTCTTGGAAATTTATTTCTTTACATGTGGCTAATCTAGAATATGCTAAAAGCAGAGCAATCCTAAGTCTATCTATTTTTCAAACCTTTAGTTTCCTAATAATTATTAGAAAAGAAAAACAAAATCATTTTAAAGAGCACAAACAATCTGCTCACAATCGTGTTTGGGGAAGTAATCAAGTCTGCTAGGACAAAAAAAGAAGAAGAAGGTAAAAACCATGTTTATTTAAATAGCACGTGTGAAACAAATCTAAATTAAAAGGCTTTGAGAAAAACGAAGGGCCATGTGCGGCATAACTGTCAAATAAAATGTTATTTGAATTTGGAAACAGCAAATGTCGACAGAAAAGTCTTTATATATTTAATAAAGGACAGTGCTATTCGTTTAATAAAATAAGTATAGTCAAAGCATATTATTAAATAACAATATAAAAATTACAAACCCTTTTCTCATTTATGATATGATTAATGACATATGCATCAAATTAATGTTCATTGCAGATTGCAGAAGAGGAAGGGACCTTCCCCAGAAAAAGAAAAGTCTACAATCTAATCTTATACATTTCAAATCTGTATATTCAAACACGCCACTAAATTCACATTAAATTTATGGTCCTCTACCATAAGATGATAAGCTAATTAAATTCTAAACTATAGACTTATATAACATCAACTGCACATAAAAGGAAAACTCGGCCATCCTACTAAAAAGAATTAGACAGGAAAATATAGTCTAGGCAACATAATATAAGTGAAACATCGACATTGACAACACAGAAGCGCCAAATAAATTCTCAAATTCGTCAACTGCCGTAAATTTTCATGAGGAAAAACGCATATCAAGACAGCCCAAATCACAACTTGCATAAGCAGCTAGATGAAATGAATGTAAGAGAAAAATAGTAGCAGTTTTACATTAGAATAGAATAAGGGGAGTTGTGGAAATTTAGACTACTTGAATGTTCAATATTCAAAGTTCGACATGCAAAACTGACTAGAACAATTGGTGACAACAAGATGGCGACGTGCTTTATCAGACTTCAGAAAATCTATTTCAGTATTCAGGTGGTGAGATAATGATCAGTCTCCTAAATTAAATAAATTTTGCTTTCGATAAACGATTTTCATTTGACCATTTGCCCAACCATACAAACTATCTCCAAATTTCTTGCTTGAGCAAGTAATCAACTGGCCTAAACTTCAGGATATAAGCCAACTATACAATTTTTTATTTAATTCAAACATGTTTGGCGAGTCAATAATTTAAAGAAAAACACCAAGAATTGACTACACACAAGAATATAATATATGTGTGCATGTATGTATGTAAGTAATTTGCCCAATAATAATTCATATGACATAAAAGGTTAGGTCATGCGTAACATACAACAAAAGTTACATTCCCAAAAGAATTGTATAAATCGATGTAGTTCAAATAATCATCACATAAATTCTTCAATAAATACCTCAAATCCCACTTCAGTGACTGGCCTCAATCAAACTAGTCATCCAATGCCTTACCTTACGTCCTTACCCCACACTTTCTCATTCCAAAAAGATATTCCACACAACCGAAATCAGGGCTTCCTTAAGTAGGCTTCTCAGTTGTTTCTATCCCTTTCAGAATGGGCTGGATGCAAGCTTGATTTTCCGAATTCTGATGATATATCACCTTCAGATTTGGAAAACATTTTCATCTTGATAATTTTTATCCAAATTTCCAAATCTTTCTCTAATCCTACATAGGAAATACATACACAGTAATGAACAAGAATTAATTGGTTATTCAGAAAATGCAAGATATTTCAGTGTATGATAATTATAGAATGTTCAAATATTTACTTAAAAAACCAGTATTGTGAGTAGAGCAATCAAACTATAGAGAACAAGTTTGAATCGTTAAAATCATACAATATTTCAATTTAAATATTTATCAAAATCCTATTAGTTTACAATAAGTTAGAAACACGAAGTAACGTGGCCATTCCAAGCCTGTCATATGAGCAAGTAAGCCTATGATGTAATAAATATCAAGTCAAAACCTAGTCAGTTGATTGGTTGTGTAGGCTAAAGTTATGTTTTAGATTCAATTCACGAGAAATCCAGTTGCTATGGAGTTTTAAACTTTTAAGATATTATTAACACTAATATAATTAGCCCAGATAAACAAGCCCAGTTCTTGTGGCCAACACCTCCAGCTCAAGCCTTGTAATTGTCTGGTTCAGCTAATGGACAGGTGTGTCAGGGGCACATGGGGCCCCTAAAAGATGGAGAGTTTATAATTCCCCTCAGATAGTCAAAGAGCACAAATAAAAAGGCCAGTATTGGCTAAAAATACACTTCACACCAAAAACTGAAAATAAAGAAAACCAAGGGTTCCAAATTCCAATTACCCAAAACTCATTTCCCTCCCCCAGTTTCTCCTGCTGTATGATTTTTTCACATTCACTTATAATTAGACATACAAAAGCAAAATGTAATCCGCAGTCCAACCAGCCATTTTAAAAAAATATGTTACCTATCTAGCAAGGAATTAAGATGGAAAATGTCAAGGCTGCAAGGGAGAATAACATACAGGACTCACCTGCAGGATTGCTTAAGAGTTTGGTGTTGGCTGAGAGTCTGACCATAACATTAGAGTAGCTAAAAGAGCTATTGTAGCAGTTTCAACACGCAAGCGATGTGGCCCAAGACCAACAGCTGTAGCACCTGCTTCCATCATCCTATTCACCTCCTTCTCTGTGAAGTCTAATGCATTTACAAAACCAATTTATTTTATCTAATTACTAGTGGTACATCTAACAACTGAAGACACTTCAACACCCGTAAATACTTGATAAAACAATAAAAACAATTACAAGCAGTGTCTTGTAAACCAAAAGCAATATAGTTTCAAAGTTGGAATCAAACTGCAATGCTGATTGAGGAAAAGAACAGGCTATCTTAATAATGTTTTCCATTTCCTCCACTTAAGCAAAAATATCCCCTATGGAAAAAAATAACACGAGAACTGAAAATTTGACATAAACCAAAATATTATAGAAGCAATGGGCAACCAGCAGTAGATACAGAGATGACAAATATGTTCATGGTCCACAATGTATAATGATAAAGTGGGAACCAGTGACATCAAGCTTACTAAAAGCTTTAATAACCTCATCCAACAATAATACTACACTATCAACGAATAAAAAAAGTAACTGCAAATTTGTTTGCATATATATATATATATTTGATTCCTCCAATATGGGTCAAAACCATTGTTTTAAAACCCGGCCCGGCCCGGCCGGTTGAACCGGGACCCGGAAGCTTCACTGGGCCGGGTTTAACTTTTCCGATTCACCTCCAAACCCTAAGATTTGGGAGGATGATCGGCGAACAATCGCCGGCCGGAAGGTTAGGGCTTTTGAAGACTAAGGTCCGGTGAATACAATGGTGGTGGCATCGTTGATTTCCGGTGAGTAAATCGATCGGAAATCGAAGAAACTTGGCAGCGGCAACAATGAGATTTTTCCGGCGATTGGCTTGGCTAACGGGGGTGCGGTGAGGTGGGTTTTGGTCGGGAGGAACAGGGGAGGTTTGTGGGTGCCGGCGTGGATGAGATCTGGCCTGGAATACCCACGTCGGCGTCGGTGAAATCTAGCCAAAATCGAAGCTATTTCGGCCAGATCTCGGGTAGATTTTAATGGAAATGGGCTCAGGGGAAGATTTGAGTTGCATCTGGGGTGTCGCCGCTGCCGATCAATCGCCGGTCGATTTTCAGTTGGGGTGTGTTTGAGAAAGTTTAAACATGTAGGGACTTGAAAGTAATTGTTAGGGGTGTATTTGTTGAGTTTTAAAATTTTTTGTCAACCGGTCAACCCGGGACCCGAAAACTTTGCCGGGTTTCACCCCGGGTTGGGTTTTAAAACATTGGTCAAAACACGAAATTTGTATATATTTAAGTTTCAAAAAGTTTAAACTTCCACTAATATGCTTCCTACTATACACACAAATTTATACTAACCCCCTTCAGGTCCAACAACTATCAGCCCACTAGATTCATTTCTTGATGAAGTCAATGTACTGACAAGTGGAGTAGCTTCTGCTATTGCAACAAAAGATAGCTTTGACTGGGCAACCTATAGAATACAATATACATGTAAGTTCAACAGACAAGGCTAGGAAGAAAAGAAATACATGCTAAACAGCTAACTGCATCAAAGCATCATTATTCCAATGATTCAAGCACATGTCAACCAATGTACTTTAATAATTTATCACAGCGCTATCTAGATCTATATGCTACAACCATGAGCATCTTTTATATAGATTCACTAATCACTCTACTGCCCAAGTGAACTTTGCAATGCCAATCGGCTACTCAATATTGGCACCACATAAAGATTATTTCAGTGAATCTAAATCCAAGAAAATACCAAACCATTTAGGTGCAAGAAGTAGGAAAGAAAAACTTACAAGAGGTAAGAGATGATCAATTTTCATAGGAGGATTCAAAGCCATTTCATGCAGCCGTTGACCTGTGATGGAGAACCATGGCAAAAGGATGAAAACAGAAGGAAAATAAATAACCTCAGATACCACCCTCTATTAGAGAGTGAAATTAGCAAAGGTTCATCCTTCCATAAATTAGAGTGAAATTCGAAAATATAACTAGAGTAAAGAATCATGTATTTACACTGTTTAGATGCTGCAAAAATAACACGCTGCAATCTGTCCACTCGATTTTCTGAGATTGTAGGTGAACGATCTGTCAGCAAGGGGGTTACACTATGAGCTCCCAGCTCCTGGGACAGTGCAAAGAAGGTAATAATAAGAAGCTATGAAACAAGCACAGCCAAAAAGCAATTCAAGGTTCTAAACAGATAATATCCATGAATGAATTTAACACATACAGTGCATTTCTCCACAAGCCAATCAGCTCGACCGCCCTTAAGAGTACCTAAACAGGATTAGGTTTTAACATGAAAAAAAAAAAATAAAAAAAAAATAAAAAAAAATAAAAATAAAAGAACCCTAAACCTTAAAAAAGTTTATATTCATTATCCCAAAGACCAAACACTTACCAAAAGCGGCAAACACATGCCATTGTGTAGTTAGAGGTAGAACTAATATTGGATCCTCCAGTGCCACAAAATCCAATCCCGTGCGGTCAATCATTTGTATACAACCTTGTATCAATCCTCCTTTTCCATTGAAAAGCTCTACCCTTACATTCAAAATTTAGCAAACAGTATATATATTCATTATAACACACATAAATTATTCATCAGTACAAAGTTGTTCAAAAACGCTACGATAAATTTTAGAGCTCTTGAATATAACAATCTCTATATGTTTAATTGTGAAAAAAGAAAAATTGTACTAGATTATATATCAAACAGGTGTCTACATTAAGAGTCTACCTGTCATTGGTGCTCAACCTTAAAACTTTGGTCATATGCCAAAATTCATCTCCGTCTACGCGAACAACGCCTCCCTGCGCCATTTGTCACCGAAAAAATATTGAAAAAGAAAAAGAAAATAGTGATTTTAAAATTATATCCATAATTTGAAGGATATAGAAAATGAATTGCCTTTGAAGAAGGAAGAACTTGGGAGAAGAAGCGAGGAAGAGCACCGCGTGATTGGTTAGCGTAATCGGATGAGCTTGAGAATGCTCTGATTTTAAACGACGGACGGTTTACGAGTTGTATAAAACGTGGTCGTACCGCTGCAAAGCTTGGCATTTGTGAAATTTGTGTCAAGTCTTACCGACCAGTTACGGTGAATGAAGATGATGGTTGGGAAATGCCAGTGGGGTTTTGGGGTTAAACTTCAAAAGACCTTAATATACTCCAACGCTGCGTTTAAAAGATGTTATTTTATCCATATTAATCCATACGATGCCGTTTCATCTTTAATTGAGCGTGGAATGTATCGCACATACCAGGCGTTCGATGAAATGCCCAAAAAAAGCATCTATCATCCGGAATATTGCCTTGACTTTGGCCCTCAGAGTTAACTGATAATTATGCTGTTTGTACGGCATTAGGGCTTTATTCGTTTTTTGGTGTTCCTCTATTATTAACGAAAAGAAAAACTATGAATCACCAACAACAAACATAGAGAATTAAAAATAGTTCCGAGTTTAAAGACACTTTTTTTACAACCAAAGCCATTCTGATATCCTTTCAAAACACCCTATTTCCTTTCTTTCCACTGCCAAACCACAAAACAAAAAGCCCAAAAAGACTTACACATATTCAAAGAGAATGGCTTCCATTACATGTACTTTCATCCATTCATTCAACAGTTCTCCTCTTCTCGACCATCACCATGAAACCCACCTCCCAAATCACAACCCTTTCCCACAGCCCTCCGGAACCGGCACAACCGACAACCTAGGCTGCCTAAACAACCCCAACCCTTCAGCCCATCATCTTTCTTCATCTCCTTCAAGTCCACCATCGCCTCATCGTCCCCACTCTTTCACATCAAACCCCTTCGCCCTCACCGTCAGTCTGTACCATTCCTGAGATACAGTCACCACCCCACCACGCAGCGCGCTTGGCGCCGGAGTGGTAGAAGAAGCAGAGATCGTTGAGTTTCATGGACTTCATGTGTTTTTGTGCTTGGCTGTTCTTGACTCCGTCCATTGGTTAGGCCTCCGTTTGCGCTTGGTCGCCCATGACCACTCTCCTGGTTCTGTCTTCAAAAGCAGTATTGTCTCTTTGCCCATCTCTTTATGTGTGGTTCAAAGAGCTTGAGAAGTGACATATAGTTTATGAGGATGAAGTCGGTGAGGGAGGTTTAATAATGGCGATTAGACTTGGTTTGGCGCAGTGGTTAATGTTATGAGTTATGACTTATGAGATAAGGATCGTTCCGTACGATCCACCGGATAAAAGTGGACCTAGATTTTGGTGCTGAGCAGAGCATTGATGGTTTCTAGTTTCTACTGCTATTTATTTGGTTTTAAGGCAACGAAGGGTCTGATTCTGATATTGGTTTCTCATTATAAATAGTAATATAAAATTAATAATTGAAATTGCAACATAAACAGAAGGAAGAAGGTATAACCCAGAATTGGGAAATAAAATTGTATACAGTTAATAGCAAATTATAGAGATGTGAAATCCGGCCCGGCCTGGGCATGGTTGATATTCAGCGGGCCTGATCAGAGAAGTTAAGCCCAGATTTTGATAATAAGCCTTATATATGTATCTCCTGGAAACCAATATGCTTCATGCTTTATAGACAAAATTTTATTTATGTTGTACTAATGGAACGTCTATGGTATCACATCACATCTATTTAGGATATGACATATATTTAAACAAAAAAAATTATATTAAGAAAATAAGATACATACCAATCACGTTGGCTCGGTCTGATTAATTATTTTTCCTATCGTATAGTACTATTTTCAACTATTATATTTATTCAATATTTGTTAAACATTCTAAGTTATTAATTAACTAGACACTCCCCAAAAAAAAATTTAAAAATTAACAAAAACACCCCCACTCAAACATTTGCTAGATTCTGATCACACCATTGGAAGTGTTGGAATCTGGTATAATGGCGTACTATGGGCTCGATCTTAGCGGTAGTATGCCGATCTATATTTACCGGAGATCCACACGTGGATCTGGCCAGAAATGGCCAAATCTATGACCAAAGATCTGGCCGTTAAGGTCGATCTTTGGTCGTAGCTGGTCTTCAACAACAACCTAGAGATGGCCGTTGTTGACCATGAACGACGATCATATCTTTGGCCGTCATTGACGACCAAACAGACCATAGATCTGGCATTTTCCTGCTAGATCCACGATGATCTGGCTGGAAAGGTCATCTCGACGCATGACCGGCCACATCCAACTGGACATGTACCTAAACGCCAGATTCCAGCCAGATTGACGGTGGTGCATAATTGGCAACTGTGTGTGGTGGGGTGTTTTGTCATTTTATAAAAAATTTATATATGGGGTGTTAAGTTAAATTAGCAAATCTAAGGGTTTTTTTTTTTTTTATAATTTTAAATCTATCTCGAATAACACCTAACTTTACTTACCATATATTTTAAAATACTATCAAAATAAAAAACAAAACATCCATTATCTTTTGTCTTTGTCTCAAATATCATCATCATATATATCATACATACATGTTAGAACTACTTATCATGACATAATACCAATGATTTAATACCACGAGTTTAGCATGTTGGTTAAGAAGATTTGTTTCTTTATTGACTTCTTAAATTCGAACTACTTTGGGGTTATCTACCACATTTGTGATTCACCTTAGAATATTAAACTGTAAAGTGTTTAATGGGTCTCAAAGATAGTTAAGGTGCGCGTAAACTAGCCCAAATATTAAAAAAAAAAAAAAAAAAAAAAAAAAAAAACCAAGACTTTGTGTGATAGTATGGAAGCATTCTTATATTAGTCCCCATAATTAATGATGTCACTGCATGCATGAAGCTTATGAAGAGAAAGTATTTTAATTGTTTTACATGAATGCTAAGTTATGATCGAATAGACAATTTTATTCGTGAAATAAAAAAAGATTGAATTATAATCTTATTCTTAAACTTAAATCATATTTTAAAAATTCTATATTTATTTTTTAATTTTTTTCAGGAGATTTTTTCCTAATTATACATTAAAGAAGAGAGATATATATGTGTTGACAATTTTGTCAATTGTGGGTTATTAATAAAAACATTTATGAAAACATAAAGGCATGGTCAAAGAAAAAAATCAACAATAACCATGATGTAAAATATGTATGGGGTTTTGAAAATTCGGATTTAGAACATGCAACATCATTCTAGAATTAGATTCGCTGAATATTCAACTAATTAATTTTAAAGATTTTTTTTGAATAAAACAATGTACAACTTAAGTTTTTTTTTAAATGAATAAAAAAAAACTTTTTGACAATAGTCAAATATAGGAAATTGGTGTAAAAGAATATATTTGGATAATGCCATTCTCTGTTCTTTTTGAAAAGATTAGTTAGAAAACTGGTTGGGTGGTGTGAATATGAGTTGCATAATGCATCAATTAATTATAGAATATAATTTTCTCAATTATTTGTGTATTGAGTGAGCAACTTTTTCCCACCCAAATAATGGTTTAATTGTATTTTTCCACCACAAACTTTTAAAATACTTTTTTATTATCCAAATTTCTATTCCGACGGCCAAAAAAGAGCAAACTCGGTCCGACTATTAGGGCTTCTGAAGAGAGGAGACTGATGAGTCTTTTGTGGTGGAAGATTAGTTTTGATGGTTAAAATTGATTGGAATTTGACTTTGGAAGAGCAGTTGTGTGAAATCCTAATCACTCGCTTGTCACGATTAGACAAGGTCGAGGAAGTAAGGTTTGATGGATTTTAGTGAGTGATGATCGGAGAAGAGAATGATAGTGGTGTGGGGTGTCAATATGCCCAAATCTGAACAGAACGTAAATTTGATATTAAAATAGTATTTTAAAAGTCCGTAGATAAAAAAATGTTATCAAACCATTATTGGGTGAGAAAAAAATCATTTACTATTATAAATATATAAAATTTATAAAGCTCGTTTAGATGACTTGAGTAAGGGAGTCTGGGGTTTTATCCTTTTAGGATAGTTTTAGGTTAGACCTGTAACCACATGATCCATCTGTTCGATTTAAGCCCACAAGACTTTGTTTATTCATTATGAAAACATGTATCTACTTGTACGTTCAGGTATTCATCACCAACTTGACAAATGCAAAATTGAGAGAATGGTCAAAGAGATAGAATATATATTATAGTGATTTAGCTATATATACATGACGCAGCTGAGAAGCTACGGCGAATGATCCATTCCACACTGAATAAAAAAAAAAAACTGAGTCTTCAAATAAAATAAAATATAAAGGCATGCATAGGCATAGCCAGTCACGAGACAACCATTTTCCCATTAGTCAAACATAATGGCATCAGTATTATGGGTTTGGACCAACCTTTCTAGTGTACCAAATATCAAAGCAAAAGCATGCATATATGTTTCATTATTTGTGGTAAAATTGAGGGACATTATGATGAAGGAATATTAGGGTTTTCGATGAAAAAGTTCAACTTTCCTAAAAAATCTTTTATCTTTTCTATAAAAATTTTAACCATCCCACGTGAAAAATCTGAAAATCATTCTTTTGGATAAATAGGAATTAAAACCCCAACGATTTGGAGTTTGAGCTTATAAATTTCGAAACTGTGATAATGATGAGAGTGGGATCACCATGGCCACACAATGTTTGAGCTTTGTGGATGATATTATAGCCACAGTTGCCACCCAAGTCCAGAGTTGAATGATGGTATGGTCTAAGTGATAGGACAAATGGGTTTGTTCTCAACAAAAGGCAGCATGAGCTGAATTGATGGGTTTTAATTATGAAATCGAATGGACAAAGACAAACACTACTCTTCTTCTTATAGTCCTGCAGTTATGGTGCGTGGGTGAGGTCAGAAGATTTGTATACTTAAATATTATATGAATCCAAGAAGAGAGGCTGTGATTATTTGGGACTCAAAAACTTTTTGGTCCTTGTGTGGAGCACTTTTTGGCACAGTGGCTGCCATTATGTTAATGAGGGACTACATTATATCTAATTGCACACAAATTAAGACACATCTATGAATTACTCCTTAATTAATTTGTTTAATTTGTACATAAACCTCCATGATAAGGTTTGCTTCCCTTGTCATTTCTTCATCTTTTTCATTCCTTTTCAAAATTTATGTCATTTGATTTTCGTATAATATTTTTGAAATTTCACGACAATTATTTATTAATATGACTAATGATGGTTAATGTTAATAACTATGTGACAAAATTTTATTGAACGGAGGTTCAGATATAAAATATTACTATATGTGCATACAAAGTTATTGGTCGTTGATAATTTTTTTTAAATGCATGATTCTTTTGTCATTATGTAATTGTTTTAGAACATGAGCTCAATCTAGAAGCACATTAAATTAGTTGGGGAAGAATAGAACAAAAGAAAGAAAACAAGATCCAACATATAAATCAATATCAATTTGAATGAATTTTCTTATTTAATTAAATCTTGGGTAGAAAATACTACCAACATTCAACATTTGTATACCTAGATTGTCAACCATATATTATAATTTTTAGTTCGTCAAATAAAATTATTATGAAGGTTCCATTGAATTATAAACTTCATATATATAATGTATGAAAAACGGCAATTTTTTCTAAAAGAATTTGACGTGATTTACACAACGACTAAGAGTTTGATGAATTAAATATTATTATTAACCATTAGAGAACAAAAACAATTAAACAACTGATGAATTATTATTATCTCAAGGTATGGGCTAGTGCAACATCTTTAATTATGCTGTAATTCTTTTTCTGTAAACTTTAATTATGACTAGTCTTTGCTTACGGTAGATATTATAAAGTTGGTAAAGACTTTGATCGTTTCATGAAGTATTCAGAAGAATCAGAAATATTCAATTTGGATTTATTAACACGAAGGCTACAGTGAAGCCTCCAAATCTCAATCTCAAATCTCAGACTCCTGATCAAACGATGCATGTTCTTGATCCATACAGAGATGATCAAGGAACACAAAGAAGAAGCAATGAATTAAGAAACTGGAAACGTAAAAATCCATTAAAAAAACTACACTATATTTTACACTGGTATAGGAAAATTAAACTCAGAGCTGTACTTAATTTAATCTATCAAAAATACAAAGGAAACAAAATCCCCCAGATTAAATAATCAACAAAAGAACATATATATATAGCACATGAATTAATGAGAAGAAAGTAAAAGATTAATTTCATGGCTTGGTCTTCTGAGTGTAGATATAATCAATATGAGCTGCAAGTGTTCTTCTCATCAAACACTCTTCTTCTCCAACTCCCTCACAGCTCTCCTCAACCTTCTCTGCCTCCACTTCCACTTCCTTTAATCACACATATGCGAAAAAAAGTATTAGAAATTAATTAAATTATATAAAAGAAACAACGATCAGATGAAGCTAGCTGCATGAATCAAATCAAGAAAATCGACATACCCCATGAAGATTTTTGGTCAGAGAAGCATCGGGAAATGCTGGATGAGGCCTGGCGGCGGAGGTGAGAGTGAAAAAGAAGAGGAGGGCGACGATGATGAGGCAGAGGGTGTTGACCTTGGAAGACATTTTGATTTTGTGGTTTCTAGAGAGCTGCTTAAAGAGCATAAGACACGGACAACTGTAGGCGGACTCCATTTATTGACGACACTGTCAAGTTTCAAAAGGACAAATGTGGAATTTCACTTCCCATCCTGACTTGTACTTTATTTTTGACAATTAATAAATAAAACAAAAGAGGGTTTGGTGTCGCCCGACCCGAAAGAAATTTCTATACATTAGGTAGTCCAAGAGATATAGATGAGTTTATTATGTTAAACTTCTGTATTAGAAGAAAATTAGTTAATTAATGTAAGTAATTGACTTGATTGAGAATCAGATGCAGGGAGATGCTATTTGTTATAAAATTAGCTTTAAAATTAAAGAGTAAAGAGCTGACTTCTTCAATTATGCTTAGAGACAACACAAATTAATAGTAATGATAAGTTAATAACACCATGCCAATCATGATACTAATACTTAAATTTATTTAATTAATTATTATTAGACCTCTTTGTGTTCATATGTACGAAATAAATGTAATATAAATAATGAGTAAAAAATGCCAATGATTTAAGTTTTGAAGACTAAAATTATCTTTAGGTGATCGAGTGGTTCGATAAAGACTCTTGAATGTATTATTCAAGAAGTCTTGTGTTCAAGTCTCTTCTCGAGTAATAATAGGGGTAATCATTGGGATTCTTACTTAACTGATAGTTTCAAGGTACTGGGAGATTAGTTGAGGTGTGCGTAGGCTGACTCAAACACCCTGATCATTAAAAAAAAAAGAAAAACAATTAAGTTGTGTGCAACTGTGAATGTCCAAAACAATAAAAGAAATATAATTATGAAATTAACAGAGATTAATATTGATGATTTTTATGTAGATTAATGAAGAGACTTTATATTCAAATCCTGCAACGTATTAATTGGAGTTGCAAATGTAAGAGTAAATTAACTTTGGTGTTACAATATTTTATATTAATATTAATAGTTTATAAAATTTAGGGAAACCGACTTGCAAAATGTGAAGTTATGATGAGTTTCAGCATGCTCATGGGGCAGTTCCAAGTATAAGTTTCATGATAAAATGATGAGTTTAATTAACATGCACCAACTTCGACCAATCAATGGTCCTAGAGTAAACAATTAATTTGTTGTTCCCATCGATAACTATAAAGAATTTAATCATCAAGAGTCGACCAATTCTTTCCACATTATAATAATAATGGGTGGTGGGTTTAAAGAGAAAACTAAGGATGAAAGAAAGCATGAGAAAGTGTTAAATGTAATGAAATTAAGAAGGTTGTTTGGTCAGCTGTTAGTGTTGGCCAATTAAGTTATCGATAACCATCCATTTCTATCTTCCCCTGTTCCTTTTTCTAAATCACAAGCTGAGAGTTTTTTATTTTATTTTTATATACCCGAGGTGTTGGGACCAGCTTATACATATTTTGATTAATCTCCGAGGCTCATTGGATACCTTACAAACCCAATGTCTATTTTCTATCTTCTCCGATTCCTTTTTTTCTAAACCACAAGTTGAGAGTTTTTTTTTTTTTTTTTTTTCTTTTTTAATGATCAGTGTGTTCGAGTCAGCTTGTGTGTACTTCAACTAATTCCTTGAGTCATTGGATACTACCCTATAAACTTAATGTTCCAAGGTAAGTCACAAATGTAGTAGGTGGCTCCAAGGTTCCAATATAGCAAGTCAATGAAGGGAGCAAATATTTTTTACCGTCAAGCCAACTCCTTTGAGTTAGTTGAGAGAGTTTGCTCATGGCATTGATAAGGCAAACATTTCTACCTTAGATGAATGACTTCACCCACGTTTGTTTATATTCTGATATGAGACTAATTAATAAACCACCACTGGATGGTTTGATGGTAAAAGAATAAAAGGAGGTTCCCTAAGCTCTTGAGTTCGAGTCCNGCAAATTTATAGAGATGTGAAATCCGGCCCGGCCTGGGCATGGTTGATATTCAGCGGGCCTGATTCAGAGAAGTTAAGCCCAGATTTTGATAATAAGCCTTTAATATATATATCTCCTGGAAACCAATATGCTTCATGCTTTATAGACAAAATTTTATTTATGTTGTACTAATGGAACGTCTATGGTATCACATCACATCTATTTAGGATATGACATATATTTAAAAAAAAAAATTTATATTAAGAAAATAAGATACATACCAATCACGTTGGCTCGGTCTGATTAATTATTTTTTCCTATCGTATTAGTACTATTTTCAACTATTATATTTTATTCAATTATTTGTAAACATTCTAAGTTTATTAATTTAACTAGACACTCCCCAAAAAAAAATTTAAAAATTAACAAAAACACCCCCACTCACTAACATTTGCTAGATTCTGATCACCACCATTGGAAGTGATTGGAATCTGGTATAATGGCGTACTATGGGCTCGATCTAGCCGGTAGTATGCCGATCTATCATTTACCGGCCAGATCCACCGTGGATCTGGCCAGAAATGGCCAAATCTATGACCAAAGATCTGGCCGTTAATGGTCAGATCTTTGGTCGTAGCTGGTCTTCAACAACAACCTAGAGATGGCCGTTGTTGACCATGAACGACGATCATATCTTTGGCCGTCATTGACGACCAAACACGACCATAGATCTGGCATTTTCCTGCTAGATCCACGATGGATCTGGCTGGAAAAGGTCATCTCGACGCATGACCGGCCACATCCAACTGGACATGTACCATAACGCCAGATTCCAGCCAGATTCTGACGGTGGTGACCATAATTTGGCAACTGTGTGTGGTGGGGGTGTTTTGTCATTTTATAAAAAAATTATATATTGGGGTGTTAAGTTAAATTAGCAAATCTAAGGGTTTTTTTTATTAATTTTTAAATTCTATCTCGTAATAATCACCTAACTTTACTTACCAATAATATTTTAAAAATACTACTCAAAATAATAAAACAAACGCATCCATTATCTTTTGTCTTTGTCTCAAATATCATCATCATCATATATATCATACATACATGTTAGAACTACTTATCTATGACATAAATACCAATGATTTAATACCACGAGTTTAGCATGTTGGTTAAGAAGATTTGTTTCTTTTATTGACTTCTTAAATTCGAACTACTTTGGGGTTATCTACCACATTTGTGATTCACCTTAGAATATTAAACTTGTCAGATGTTTACTGGGTCTCAAATTAGTTAAGGTGCGCGTAACTAGCCCAATATTAAAAAAAAAAAAAAAAAAAAAAAAAAACCAATGACTTTTCGTGTGATAGTATGGAAGCATTCTTATATTAGTCCCCATAAATTAATGATGTCACTGCATGCATGAAGCTTATGTAAGAGAAAGTTTTAATTGTTTTACATGAATGCTAAGTTATGATCGAATAGACAATTTTATTCGTTGAAATAAAAAAGATTGAATTATATCTTATTCTTAAACTTAAATCAATTTAAAAATTCTATATATATTTTTTAATTTTTTCAGGAGATTTTTTCCTAATTCATACATTAAAGAAGAGAGATATTATGATGTTGACAATTTTGTCTCAATTGTGGTTTAATAAAAAACATTTATGAAAAACAAAGAGCATGGTCAAAAGAAAAAAATCAACATAACCATGATGTAAATATGTATGGGGTTTTGAAAATTCGGATTTAGAACATGCAACATCATTCTAGAATTAGATTCTGCTGAATATTCAACTAATTAATTTTAAAGATTTTTTTTGAATAAACAATGTACAACTTGTAGTTTTTTTAATATGAATAAAAAAACCTTTTTGACAATAGTCATATAGGAAATTGGTGTAAAAGAATATTGGATAATGCCATCTCTGTCTTTTTGAAAAGATTATGTAGAAAACTGGTTGGGTGGTGTGAATATGAGCTTGCATAAGCATCAATTAATATAGAATACTAATTTTCTCAATATTGGTATTGAGGAGAGCAACTTTTCCCACCCAAATAAGTTTAATTGTATTTTTCCACCCACAAACTTTTAAATACATTTTATTATCCAAATTTCTATTCCGCGGCCAAAAAAGAGCAAACTCGGTCCAGACTATTAGGGTTTGAAGAGAGGAGACTGATGAGTCTGTGGTGGGAAGATTAGATTTTATGGTTAAAATTGATTGGAATTTCTTTGGAGAGACAGTTGTGTAAATCAATCACTCGCTTGTCAACGATTAGCAAGGTCGTGGAAGTAAGGTTTGATGGATTTTTAGTGAGTGAGATCGGAGAAGAGAAGATAGTGGTGTGGGGTGTCAATAATGCCCAAATCTGAAACAGAACGTAAATGAATTAAAATAGTATTTTAAAATCAGTATAAAAAAAATGTTTACCATATTGGGTGAGAAAAAAATCGTTTACTCATTATAAATATAAAATTTATAAAGCTCGTTCTAGATGACTTGAGTAAAGTCTGGGGTTTTATCCTTTTAGGATAGTTTAGGTTAGACCTGTAACCACATGATCCATCTGTTCGATTTAAGCCCCACAAGACTTTGTTTATTCATATGAAACATGTATTACTGGTACGTTCAGGTATTCATCACCAACTTGACAAATGCAAAATTGAGAGAATGGTCAAAGAGATAGAATATTATTATAGTGATTTAGCTATATACATGACGCAGCTGAGAAGCTATGGCGAATGATCCATCCACACTGAATAAAAAAAAAAAAAAACTGAGTCTTCAAATAAAATAAAATATAAAGGCATGCTGCATAGCCAGTCACGAGACAACCATTTCCCATTAGTCAAACATAATGGCATCAGTATATGTTGGACCAACCTTTCTAGTGTACCAAATATCAAAGCAAAAGCAGCATATATGTTTCATTATTTGTGGTAAAATTGAGGGACATTATGATGAAGGAAATTAGGTTTCGATGAAAAGTTCAACTTTCCTAAAAAGTCTTTATCTTTTCTATAAAAATTTTAACCATCCACTGAAAATCTGAAACATTCTTTGGTAATGAATAAACCCCACGTTTGGAGTTTGAGTTATTTATAAATTTCAAACTGTGATAATGATGAGAGTGGGATCACCATGGCCACACAATGTTAGCTTTGTGGATGATATTATAGCCACAGTTGCCAC